TTTCCACAGTTTGGCTATTGTGGACATTGCTGCTATAAACATCGGGTTGCACGTACCCCTTCAGATCCCTACTTTTGTATCTTTGGGGTAAATACCCAGTAGTGCAATTGCTGGATCATATGGTAGCTCTATTTTCCTGCAAAGTAATTTTTAAATAACTACACCAACAGACACTGCTTCCATCAACCAGGATCAAGAGAGCCTCTTCTGAGTAAAGGCACAATATTCCTTAGGGGCTGCTATGGCCATAAATCAAAAATAACCTTTGCTTGTGCATATTACAGAAGGAATGTTGATTATCTGAGCTACTGTCTGTCTAGGTGTAGCAGTAGTAGTGGACAGTTTAAGAGCTTCGTGTTTCAGAGACACCTGGGGACTTGAGTCCCAGGTCTCCCAATTATTAGCTGTGTGACCTTGAGCAGGTCACTTAAGGGATCTCAACTTCAGGCTCCTCATCTGTAAAATAGGGATAACGGTATCTGCCTCAGGGGGTTGCTGTGAGAACTACTATGTATCTGGAACAATGAGCAACTTTTTTAGAATGAGTAACACAATCAATAGCATCATCTTTAAGCATACAAGAGATGTCATCTTTCAGCCAAAAGCAGATAGAAACAAAATAAACAAAACTAATTAGTCAAGTTATATACTTCCAGTTTTCTGGTTCATTCAAGACTGACACCTCGACTTCATAAAGAAGTACTGATAAAAATAGGTTTCTAAGAGATTCGTAGATTTGCTTAGGGAAAAATTTACCGGGTTAAAAGTTAAATCTTATTTCTAGTCCTGGATATGTCCTAACTACCTGTTTCACTAACGGAAATTTACTTAACCTTTTTGCTCACACATCTAGTAAAAATACTTTATTTTGTTGTAATTTTCTCCATGCATTTGTCTCCTCTGCTCTCCTCCTGTTGGCAAGCTAGCACTGGGTCCATTCCTTTGGCTTCTCTGTAACTCCACTGCCAATTAACGGCCCCATGGTAAAGGGTCCAAAAATACCGAAAGAATCGGGACACTTTTTTTTCCCTTTTTATCAATGAGTTTATTCTGATCCAGCTCTAATATTTTGTAAAATTCCAAGACAAAACTCAGTAAGAGGGCGAACTGTTCTTTCATTAAATCCTGAACACGGAAAACTGGCTGTCAACTTACCGGAGCGAGGCTTAAATCCATAACCTGACTCATTTGCCTGTTGGCAGGAATGCCAGCTTCCTTCCTGTAAAGTGGTCAGGATGTCTACTAAAACCAACAGACATGATCTCATTTTATGAAATGCCTACTCTCTGTTTTAAAAAAACTAAATTATAAGTTTGATTCATCAATTAATCCCTAAGAGATCAATGTGTTTACTTACCTCTAATGATGAGCCTACTTCCGCCGTGTGGGAACCCGACCAGACTTACCCGCGCACCCTCTTACCTCTTCGTGGTCGTCGCCTGCATCCGGCTCCGGGTGTATAGCGAACCCAAAAAGGACCTGTTCGTAGCAACCAGCTACCAGCTCCATTCAGCAGCGCACGTGCCTCTTCAACTAGCCCCGCTCAGCTGAGAATGACGAAAGCGGATGCCAGAGGAAGTAGGGTCCTTCCTGCGTCGGCGCTCAAATTTACGTCACGAGCGCAGGCTGCCTTTTGGGCGCCTGCCTCCGTGAAAACGGCTTCAGAGCTCGAAGATCACGCGGAGCTTCCAAGAGGAGAATAAAGAAGAACGCCACATGAGGAAGTGCTCATGACGAGGAGAAAAAAGTTAGGGGCAAGCAGACATATCCTAGGTGGCTGCGAGCTAGACACGTCTAAGGGGAGTAGGGCGGGACATCCTCTGCGGAAGCCCCCTCGTTTGTGTGACGTCACGGAGAGGCGGGGCCTCTTTCAGCCTGGGCGGGGCTTCTGGCGGTATCGTGGGGGTTAGTGTGGAGGCGGCTCGCCTGTGGGTTGTGAGACGGGGGACAGGAATTGGGTTTCCCTTTTGTGCAGGAAGCACAAACGAGCCTTTCTCTCTCACGTTCTCTCCTAATAGGGCAAAGAGGGGGTGGCGTTCAGGGTTAGCGGTTTCTAGAGCCGACCGCGAAGGGGCCCTGGAGCTCCGCTTCCCGCGCTTCTGTCTGCCCGCCGGGTAATCCTGCCTCGCGCACCTTTCCTTACAGCTGGATTCGCTTGTCTGATTTTGGGGTCGCATTGGCCAACGTTGCCGCACACCCCGGGGAGGGAGGAGGACGCTTTACTTGAAAGGCGGACTGATTGAGGAAGAAGGGCGCAGTCATCCTACGTGAACATTCCAGAAGGAAATCTCACATTTCACTTTTCACCACCTCCCGGTTCAGGTGCAAAATGAAACATTCATGAAAGCAAAGATTGCCTTGATTGACGTTTTAGATTTTCTTAAGGTGTGGAGATTCAGAAATGGCAGCTTTGTACAAACCTAATGGAATACATTCTGGAGCGTCATAATTTGTCTCATAAAGGCCACGGCAGGTGGATTTGACAAGCAGGAGGTAGATGGCACCCGTCGGTGTCAGTTCTTCAACCCCCGTTTATCGCTGATCCTGTAGCACTTTGACCCTTTTGTTTTCAAGAATATTTGTTCTCTGGAATTGTGAATTGTCACCACGTATCTAACTCGGGTTTATTTTCATTTACACTGGTTTGAGTCTTGTAGAAATGATTCTGCATGCTTTAGTTGTCATTGCAACCCAAGGAAGGCCTTGTCTTCTGTGCACTTCGGCGACTCCACCTGAAAGCCCTTCTCAGGCACTGAAAATGCTGTAGTCAAACTCTCGGTCTTGGAAACTCGTGTAGTCGTTCACTGTTTTATCCTAATTCCTTCACTTTGTGCTAATTACCTACAAAAAGTCAAGTTATTTTACTATTTATTTTCTATTGACTGCTTCTTGACTGTTTCCACTGGAGAACCACTCAAGTGGGAAAAGTGTGAATTGCTGCAGTGGGTGTCCCCTGGGCATGGGACAAAGAATAAGCAAGACATTTCTTTGAAGTGTCATATTTTATCTTGAAAAATATGACTTACTGCATTTTAATGATATATCCGTTTATTTTAATGTAAAAGTGATATCCTCTCATCCAAAAAGAAATCTTTGAACAAACCTGTTTCAAGGGTCGCCTGCGTGGCTTAGTTAAGTGTCTCCTTCGGCTCAGGTCATGATCTTGGTGTCCTGGGATGGAGTCCACAGGGGCTCCCTGCTCAGCAGGGAGTCTGCTTCTCCTTCTGCCTCCCCTCCCCCCGCTGTGCTCTCTTTCTCTGACAAATATATAAAAAAAAAATTTTTTTTTAATCTTTTTCTATGTACTTTTGTCTCTGGAAAGCCCCTGGTGCTCTTCTTCTTTACTGCCAGGGAAATCTCAACTACTGTTTGATAAGAATTAGTACTCATTCAGTACGTTTTTTGAAATTAACTTTAGCACTGTAACAGGGTAATTACTATATTCAGCATCTATTACCAGATTGTCACATTTTTACCAGCTTGTCACATTTTAAAGAAGAACACTATGGCTTGAAAAAGTCTTTTGCTCCAACCAGGAATCTTTTAGAATATAGCTGGTTCTAGAATGAAAGCCATAGTGTAAACAACATAAACATAACTCAAAGTAGTGTACTTTTTCTTTTTTTTAACTGTTAGAAATTACTGGAACCAATTAGAGTTCGAAAGACCTTAAAGAGCATTTATCCAGGTAATCCCAATCTAAGGGAGTTTATGGATAAATCTTGGAGGCTTTGAATCCCCTGAAATTTATGCAAAATTGTGTATGTACATTTTTGGAGGAGAGCACTGATAAAAGTTCATCACATTTTCAGAAGGATTAGTGTCTCTACAGTTAAAATGCACTCATCCAGTATGAGGTTATAAATGTGAAATTGGTCTAGAAAAGTAACTTTCAAAACCACACAGCTAAGTAACAGACCTAGTGCTGCTGCTTTTTATATTTCCTTGGGCTCAAACTTTCTTTTTAACAAAGAAGAAAACAGTTTTTCACTCTCTAAAGAAAAGCAATACAAAATTACATACTTGTTCAACTGGATTCAAACTGAGCATACTTCCTGCAAACCTCCTGTTCTCTTAATGCAGGATGCAAAGAGCCATTTAATCTCATTCTTGTGAAAACTACAGTTGCCAAGAAACAACCGTTAAAAGTTCATTAACGCTAAAGCACAACAGGATTTTGTTGTTGTTTTGCTTTTAAATTATTGATTGAAAAGCTTTCTACACTTGAGCCATGCATTGATTTATTCATTCATTCAACAAATATTTATTGAGTGCCTGGCTTTGGTTGGCTAAAGAAAAAAGTTTGTTTTGGGAGTGGGGGGAGGCAGCAGTTGGTAAGGTGGATATACTGGGCTAAAAGCAGGATATAGCAGAGAAAATCAGCCTTGTTAGAAATATGAGAGTTTAATACTCCTCCTCAATTACCCTCCTTTCTCACTGTGGCAGGTAGCAAGTCTCAACTTTTAGGAAGGCAGAGGTGCATGTGCATATTCCCAGAGGATTTTGGTCTCTTTTTCACGTAGAGCTAAGGGAAGCTAAGAGTGGGTTACCTCCCCTGGACACTGGCCAATTGTCTGCCCTGGGATAAATTTGCTTCACCTGCTTCATGGGAATAATGCAGGTGAAATATGACAAGTCGGCATTTGGGGCTTTTAAGAGAACAAAACAATATTTATGAACCCTTCCTTGTCACTGTCACCAACAAAGCCCCTGAATGTCCATCTTCTCTGGAGCTTTGCTCAGGGTCCTCTGTACCCAGCTCCCACCATCATGCTGGGTGATTTCAACATGCATCATCGACATCCCTTCCTCAGCCTCCTTACCACCTTCTTATCAACGTCTAGCCTCTGCTTTCCTTTCTAACTACAGCTTGATCTCTCACCCATTCAGAGCAAAAATTGTGATTTTCCTTTTATAAAATACAGCTCTAAAATAAGAGAAGGAACAAAAAACTCATTAAAGTTTTACAAAAAGAATCCTTAACTGGTATGTTTTATTTGATGGCCAAGCTGCTATAGTAGTTAGGAATTGAGTTTAACTTCATACAGTAACCTAAAACAGCTGTGGCTTAACCAAGACATTGATTTCTTAAGTAAGAGAAATCTAGAGGTAGCCAGGCTAGTGCTGGTACAAGGAGTCCACAGTCACCAGAGACCTAGACCCGTTTTCTCTTTCAGATCCTATGTTCTTGTGCTTGACTTCCTCCATGATGTCACCTCATAGGCCAAAATATGTGCAGAGTTTGGGTTCCAGCCACCATATCTATGATCTCAGCACTCTGTCTGGGGAAAGGGTGGAGGACAATAGGCCTCCTTCCAGCTCAAACTCCCTTGGCCCACACAGCTTTCCTCAACCCCCTTATAATAGTTCTATTTACATCTTACTAGCCAGACTTTGGCCAGTTGAGCGCATCTACCTGTGCAGGGAAAGCTAGGAAATGTCTTTTAGTGAAGCCTATCTCTGCCCCCCAAATAAAGTCAGGGTTCTGTTATTAAGGAAGAAAAAGAAACTGAATAGTGGGTGGTGCCTAGCAATGTGTTCCACAGCTGTTCATCAATACCATCTCCCAGGAAGCTAGGGGAGATCTAGAGTAGGGACTCCACCTGCTTTGTGTAAGGAGGCCTTCAGTAAATAATGGTGAATGAATGATTTGAATCCATGCTGATTATTTTTTACATTCCAGGTAAATATAGACTACATACACCAAGCACTTTTTTTTAAGATTTTATTTATTTGACAGAAAGAGAGAGCAAGAGAGGGAACACAAGCAGGGGGTAGGGGCAGAGGGAGAAGCAGGCTCCCCACTGAGCAGGGAGCCAGATGCGGGGCTCGATCCCAGGACCCTGAGATCATGACCTGAGCCAAAGGCAGACGCTTAACGACTGAGCCACCCAGGCACCTCATACATCAAGCACTTATTAATAAGCTGCAGGGAAATGGCCAGACCCGAAGTGCCCCTATTTGGACTCAAAAGTTACCTTCCTACATTTTGACACGTTGCGTAGGCTTGCTATTTAGAAAAACAGAATCTGAGTGAGGTCTAATCCAAATCTACTCAATCGGGACCTACCTTTTAAACAACATGCCGAAGTAATTCTTCCGCACGTTGAAATTTGGGAAGGCATGCTTTATTGTGTTTTTAAAAATGATACTGAACCACAGAAAAATTTCTTTAAAATATTTTCTTGTACCGGCTTTAAGGGGGAGGGGTGGGACGGGTGCACGTGTTTGTGTGTTTTCCTTCAACTTCTTTCCACCAGCTGGTCAGCGTAATAATTTCAACCTGTAGAGGCTATAAAAAGAGTCCATTAATTGCTGGTTCGAATAGTTAGCAGATAACTGAACTGAGGAAGGAAATGTCAACTTGTGGTTTCTGTCTTAAGGTTTTAGTTATTACAAGCGACTCAATTATTGTAGGGGGTGGGATGGAAACTTCAGTCAGTCCCTCAAACACATACTCCTCTCTGTCCCCACTGGCTTCCGGCTACCTTCCCTGGGGCCAGCATTTGGTAGAGGGGGGCTAGCAGGCTTAAAGCCATCTCCTTAGTTTGCAGAAGTCCCCCCAGGTGACCCCTATGGACTCCTGCTCCAACCACACCTTAACCCCATTGTAATGAAAGTCAAGCAATTTATTGCCTAGCAGGAATTGTCACTAAGTGTAATTACTATTCTCAGGCAGTTGTGAGAGGTATATGCTGGCGTGAGAGGTGTTAGCCCCCTTACCTGGAATTTCTGATACAGGAATAAAAACTGTGGAGACCTGGTCTCATTCTGCCAAGTTTCTGGATAAATGGCGGGGCAGGAGAGTTTTGCAGGTTTTGGAATAGCTCAACAAAATCATTATTACTGGTACTGGCAAAGGTAAGCTGTTTTTTCCCTACTCTGAATGAAAATGAAGGCCATCCGTGCTCTATTTCTTACATGATTTTTGGCAATTTACCAACTATTGCTTTGGAAATAGGTGTTCTTAAACAGTTAATGCAGAAATCATCCTTACCCTTACCCCTTAGCCTCCTGGGAAAGAAGAAAGAGTCCTGGGGTTCTGAATGATTCTGCCTTGGTTGGTGAGGTCATTCCTGTTGTCTCCTCTCCACTACTAGGGGGAAGCCAGTGTTCCAACCCTGCCAAGCTTACCACTCCGGCAACTGGTTTGAACAACAGCACAGCGGTTACTCCCTTTCTGTCTCCACCTGTGGCTGTGCAGCAGATGGAAATGGACTCGACCTTTCTGTGCGGGAGACCTCTGGACCCCCAGCTGAAACTCTGGTCCTGCCTAAGGTATCCCTCCCTGAAATGATTCCTAGATCATCCGCGTGCCCAACATAGAAGCATCTTTTTCCTGTCTTCACTCCTCCAGATGCTCTCATTCCAATTCCCACAGCCATGGCTTTTGCTCCCCATTTTAATACCAGAGAGTAAAAGCTGATGACTGAAGAAATTCAGTGAACAATTTAAGTCATTACTATCTTCCAAAAACAAAATCCTAGGCTGATGACGTCTGTGCCTAAATTCTTACTACTAAATTTTAGATGACCATTCAATTGATTTTACTCTTAAAATAGGACTAGAGGTAGTTTTGTTTTACAGTAGCAGAAAACATTAACACGCTTTTCAAAGATACTCTAATATTTTGGTTACTAAAGTAAGCTATTTCTGAAATCACACGGAGGGACTAGAGTAAGGGAAAGCTTTCTCCATCCTTTTCCCCATCCCTTCCCTCTTCCCCATCTCCTCCCCATTTAGAAGAAAGTCCTGTTCAAGTGCATCTACATCCTCTAGATTTTTCCCTTCTACTCTTCGTAAATCAGCGTGATTGGGCTTTATTTTTGTTTAGGGAGTTGGGGGAGACTTGAGCAAGAACAGACTGAGTAGTACATACTGGTTTACTCTTTGCTTCTGCTTATAGGTTGCATTAGATGTCCCTCCCCCCCCACCACCCACCCAGTTCACCCTTTTAATAAAGAGCTTTCTTTAAAAGTTGCCCATTTGGATGTGCTGTGATATTAGCTCATCCCTTATTGACTAACATTTTGAATGTTCTCAGTGCTTTAAAAACTTTTACCTATCTCCAAGTATTTGAGTGGTTTTTGGCTAAGAATAAATTTCTAGAGGGGCGCCTGGTGGCTTAGTCCGTTAAGCGTCCTGACTCTTGATTTTGGCTCAGGTCATGATCTCAGGGTCGTGAGACTGAGCCCGGGTTGGGCTCTGGGCTCAGCGAAGAGTCTGCTTGAGATGTCCTCTCCCTCTCCCCTCCCCCTGCTTGCACACTCGCTCTTGCACACACACCCTCTCAAATAAATCTTAAAAAATTCTGGAAGTGGAAGGTCTGGATCAAAGGATATAACATTTAAAATCTCGGACAGCAAATTACCAAAAAGCTTGCCTAAATTTACACTTTTTATGGCTGCTGGGGGTATGCTTGCCTCTATGTTTCTGCGTGTCATTAACCAATGTGACAGGTGAGGAAGCCATATGTCTATTATTGAGGGCAAATACCTTTTAAACTGTTTCTTGGTATCTGTGTTCTGTGACCTCATTGATGTCCTTTGCCCACGTTTTTTTCTGTTGGTTGTGCCCCTTTCTTCTGTGTAGATACTTACATATTATGGAAATTAGCACTTAGTCAAAGTGTTAGTTTTCTCTCCAGTCTGTTTGGTAATGTCCTCCTTGTGGGATGGCCTGTGCCTTAAACCCAGAATTAGATTTAATATTTAAGCCCTCAGTTTTTAAAACTTGCATTTTTTGCGGGGGAGGGGGTTTTGCCCAAACTTTTCATTTTCAGTTTTTCAAGTCTGTTTTAGGTGTGCCTTCTTCCAAATAAAATATCTTGTTAGATTTCTTGGCTTTTTCTTTTTAAACCCAAATCGGCCTTTTAGCAGATGTTTGATATTGCATCACTTACAAAAAAATAAAAATCTTTTGCTACATTGCCTGAGGTTTTAGCACATTTCTTTCTTCTACCCCTTCCCTTTTTTGACCTTTTGGAAATGGTCTATGTGTCTTCTGGTGGTTACCTCTATCTTAAATAGAGAAGTGTAGGTTTGAGTATATTAGCAACTTTGGGAACGAAAGTGATTTCTGATTTCTGTGTACTAGTGAGAAAATGAAGAAATTAACACTGGACAAAGAAATAAGACAGTAAGACACAACAAAAGAACAAAGAAACATAAGTAACATTTTAAAAAGAAATTAATACCCCTTTTTCTCTTCTTGTCCCCCCGCCTTCTTTTCTCCATTTTTGTTGACACCTTCTGGGATTTTCATCCCACTCCAGGCAAATTATTACTATAATATGCAGTTTCAAGAATTATAAATATATTCTTGTGCCACCTGCCTGCTTTCCTGGTGGGAGTTTTGGTTATGAAGCTGATCATCAAAATTCCAGATGGTCAGGCTGTGCCGGGCATCTTTTGCTCACATGCCCTTGCTTTAGTCTTGCCTAAGAAAGTGTGACCTCTGCCAGATGTCACAGTTTATTGCCCGTTTCCCCTACCATAGCACGCCTGTGTTCTTAGCTCTTATTTCTCCAAGAGCTTAGCCTCCTGAGAGCCCTCTGCATTTTGACATTGTGTCTTAAGATCAGAGGATGTGAATATCTTCAAAATGATTCTCAGGTCTTTGGACTCCATAAGCGCATCTGTCCCAAACTCCCACTAGCAGAGGAAAACAGTTACTAGATGTGCCCTTCTTCAAGGACACCAGCACTGCCCAGGTGCCCCTTACACAAAGAGAAACCTCCATCTCCAGAGAGCATTTGCTCCCTGAACCCTGGTAATGTAGGATCCACATTTACCAGAACACGTGTTGAAAAGGAGGAAATGTGAAGTTATTTGGAAACTGTATTATAAGAAATGCCTCATTCAAGCACAGACTCTGGCTGTCTTAGCCCTTTCTAAATAGGAAAAACATGCCAGTGGTGAAATTAAATTTATGGTAACCATATAATTTATTTTCAAAACCAGGATCTATTTCTGACGGAAAGGGAGGCATACTTTCAGATAGATTGAAAAGAAGAGCTAGGGGGTCTTTGGCTTTCAATATAATCTCAATCTTCTTAGCAAGGGAGGCTTAATTGAGTTCATTGGTGCCAGGAGCTACCAGGGCTCTTCCTGGATTGGTTGGTTCCTTGGAACAGCTGTACATCCTTAACAAAGACAGTTCCCACAGGTGCCTATGGAGAGGAGTCATAGAAACTTACACTGTCCCAGGACAGCCAATAGGGTCTGGGTTAACCAACCAAGATTTATTTGGGGAGTGCTTCTGGAATTTACTTCTTTGATTGACTGGTTTGCTTTTCTATAGTCTCTGCATCTGCTTAAGCACCTATTGTCCTGGTCCTTATCTGAGCCATGGCCTTGGGGTATGATTAGAAGGCTACAGGGAGAATGTGCTCATGAAGATTTTGCAAGTTGTCATCTGGAAGGAAGGGTAGACCACCAGGTAGAGAGTTGGGCATTTATTTAATGCAGGGACTATGGAGTCTGGACACCTGGGTCCCTGGTGTCTGGTTCATATTCGAGGCCCTGGGAGGCCAGTTAGTTCCCAGAAGCTTCAGAGAGCCCTGAGGTCTTTGTCAGGCATGTTCCTCCTTTATGATTTTTTCTTCTGTTGACTTCATCCACCTATTTTATAATTATAGTCCTTCATCATTTTGACAGCTAATGTTTTCTTTAAAAGCATGTGTTGATAATAAACCTTTAAGAAAAAAATTATTTTTTCTTAACATCCTGATTTCCTTATAGGAAAGCAGAGCTCTGGCAGAGAAGCAAGATGAAGACCCACTAGAAGGTAACAGAAACCCTATGTGGCCATGGTTGAAAACAAAACTAACCCATTCCAGGTTACTCATTACTCAGCTGGCTAGTAGCTGAGAGATTCTACTGGAAAATTCCTACGTAGGTCACATAAGCCGTTTTCTTCAGCAATTTGTCTGGTCTTGGGAAACTGCTTCTGTGGGAAGCTTGAGTAAAGCCACCTGTTTGGGTTTTTCTGAAGGACTAGGAAATGGGTACGTTTCCAAACAATAAGACAATAACTTGTTTTTAAGATCTGTTTCTTCCATAAATGTAAACTTTGGGATTAATTCTGCTTTATTTTTTATTTTTTTAAAGATTTTATTCTATTTATCTATTTATCTTATTTATTTATTTATTTATTTATTTATTTGACACACAGAGCGAGAGAGAGAGAGAGAGAGAGAGAGAGAGCAAGCGAGCACACAAGCAGGGGGAGGGGCAGAGGAAGAGGGAGAAGCCAGCTTCACACTGAGCAGGGAGTCTGACATGGGGCTCAGTCCCAGAACCCTGAGCTGAAGGCAGACGCTTAACTGACTGAGTCACCCAGGTGCCCCTTAATTCTGCTTTAATTTTGATTGTTAAGGGGAAAAGTATCAGGTGATCACTGTGGCCTGGCCTCCTAGCTTCCCTCGGGGTTATTGGTTCCTGGAGGACATCACAGGCCCTGTCTGTGGTGTCAGGCAGTGCTCCTTGTAGTTCTTGATCTGTTTTGAAAAGAACAAAGTGCATCTGCTCAGAGCAGGACCTGTTTCTGACTGTGTCTTCTTCGAGGAAGGGAAGAAAGTGGCCTGTTTTACTTAAGTTATGGGAAAGAGAAGTGGGACAGACAGGCAGAGATAAGACCGTTGCCTACTTCTTATCACTTCCCCCACCTCCAGGGCTCCCCCACCAGACCAAACCCACTCACTGCCTTGTGGCTTTGTAGTCCCAGTGACTAAGTCAGCAGGTTAACAGGTGCTCAGTGTTCAAATGAAATGCAACTGATGTTTAAAAGAAATCTTTAAATGCTATGGGGTAGTTCTAGTTTTATTGAAATATATTTGGCCGACATTCCAGCTCTCAGGGGGATTTCATTCTGGTTAAAGCATGAGTCAAATCTCCCTGCTTTCATCAGTCCTGCAGACATTATAAAGATTAGAGGAAAACCTACAAAGAGTGTGCTTTCTGGATACAGACTGCCAGGGTTCAGATCTCACTAATGAGTTCTGTAATTCCAGACAAATTCATCTCCAGGGCATCAGCCTGTAAAATGGGATGTTAAAACCAACCTCTTAGAAAGTGTGAGGACAATAGCTCTAAAGTGCTTTTAAGTGTTTTAACAGCATCTGGCAGGTAATAGCCACTTCAGCGGTTAGCGTAAGCTCTTCGTAGAGCTGGAGCAGCTCTGTCCAGGGGAAATGTGATTTGAAACACAAATCCACCCACGTAGACAGTTTTAAATTTTCTAGTAGCCAAATTAAAAAAAAAACAAAACAAAAACAAACTAAAAAGAGATAGACAGATGAAATTAGTTTCAATATTTGTAACCTAATATACCCAAAATATTTCATTTAAACATATAATGAATATGAATGTGAAATTTTTAAAAATCTTAATAGCAAGTGTTCAAAATGCAGTGTGTATTTACGTCACATCTCCATGAGGACTAGCCTTATTTCAAGTGCTCAGTAAGCACATGTGGTGAGTGCCTACTGTGGTGGACAGCTTGGTCTCGAGGGCCCACAGGTTTAGGGAAGATGTAATTAGTTTGTCTTTTGTGGGTTTCTTTACCACTAGGGCCAACGTCACTGGAAGGGCCTAGATCATTAATCTGGGGTTCGTAGCTGACCACAGTGTGTCTGTTTTCTAGGCCGTAGATGACAGGACAGGCAGTGGTCTGCTCATAAGCATGGTGGTGCTGCCTTTCCTACCACCAGGAACCTGCAAAGCCAGGAGCCTTCTAACAAACAACTGCCCATAGCAGTGAAGGAAAGGACCCTGGGGCTTGACCTTAAGAAAGAATTTCACGGGGCACCTGGGTGGCTCAGTCAGTTAAGCGTTGGACTCTTGATTTGGCTCAGGTCATGATCTCAGGTTGTCAGATGGAGTCCTGCCTTCAGCTCCATGCTCAGTGGGGAGTCTGCTTCCCCCTCTCCCTCTACCCCTCCCCCTGCTTGAGCACTCTGTGTCTCTCTCTCAAAATAAATAATCTTACAAAAATTTTTTAGAAAGTTAAGGAAAAAAAAACAAAACAATAGAAGCATCTAATTTTATGACCAGAAGCTCTCAAAGGAAATGTAGTTCAAAAGAGATGGGAAGCTCTAAAGAATAAGAATTGGACAGCATAGTCATGAATGACTCCAGAGAAGAAAGTAGGAAGTAGCTCATGAAACATATCTGATGCATTAAGCCTACTTGATGATCTTGGTTCTAAAATAAGTATAGAAGGATATTAGTCAGCTCAGGCTGCTATAACAAAATGCCACAGACTGGGTGGCTTGAATAACAAAGTTATTTCTCATAGCTCTGGATACTGAGAAGTCCCAAATCAAGGTGCTAGCTGGTTCAGTGCCTGGTGAGAGGTCTCTGCCTGGCTTGAAGATGGCCACCTTCTCATTATATCCTCACCGGGCAGGGGGAGAGAGCGCATCAGTATTGGTATCCTTTTTTGTAAGGGCACTAATCCCATCAGACTAGGGCCCAACCCTCATGAGTTCAGCCAACCCTAATTATCTTCCAAAGTCCCCATCTCCAAATACCATCACATTGGAAGTAAGTGTTTCAACCTATGAATCTGGGGGGGGATACAAACATTTAGCCTGTAATAGGCATACAAATACAAAGGAGTAGCATGATCCCATGTATTAGGAAGTAAAAAAATTACAGTCCTGAATGAGCTAAGGCTTGCAAAAATTACAAAGGAAGAGAGGGCTTCTTTGGTTACATTCAGAACAGGGAGACAAAACAAGGGATGGCATTAAAAACCTTGGAAACCCAGCAACTTGGAAGTAATATCTAGGTCTGATGCTTTCATGATAACTTAACACCACCTCATCATAGGGTTCCAGGTTTTAAAGAAGAAAGGCCAGGCTTCCCTCTGTTTCTGAATTAATTGCTCTATATAGTTTGCATCACTTACATCAATCTGTTAATTAAGCAAATAAAGCAACATGTTTATGGTTTCAAAGCCCCATCCTATGGGTTTGGTCTGGGCTCCCTTGCAGTGTCCACCCAGGTGCTCATGCTAGAAACTCTGGGCTCGTCCTTGACCCTCCCTTTCTCTTTAGCCCCAAAGTGAGTCCATTTCCAAATACTGTCCATTCATCTCCCAAACCTCTCTTGAGTCCATCCATCTCCTCCATCTCTTCCACCATAGAGATGCTCATTGAGTCTGGTAGTGGTGCTTTTCCAGCTTTAATTTCTATTTTCAAATCTTATTGAAAGGAAACATGCAATTTAAAAATTCTAACATGAAATGTCTGCAATATTTTCCTGCTCATTTTTTTTGAAACTCTGATTTTAAGCCATTGCCAATATGTGTCCTATAAAACGTATTTTTTTTCGTATGCATTAATTGGCTCCTGCAGATCCAAACCTTCATGTGAATATTGAGGAATTAAACAAGGAGTTTATGATGAAAAGTGAGGAACTCTACGACTCTCTCATGAGTTGCCACTGGCAGCCTTTGGATACGGTTCACTCTGAAATCCCAGATGAGCCCCTGGAGAAGCATGATGTTCATTAAGCTACCCCACTGTTCTATTGATTGCCTCCTGTTTTGTTTTTGTTTTTGCAACAACAAAAATTCTCCCAGGAATGTACTGGATGCTATGTGTAAATGCAGATCTCCAGGTCTTGATTGTGACTGACATGATAAAATGTGATGTAAATAAACTTTACCAGCACATCCATTTCTGGAAGTGTGTTATATTAAATAAATGTCAGAAGAGATAACCTAACTATCTTGGTAGACCAAGCTGAACTGTAAGACATTTGAAAATAGGTCTAATAGGAAAATGGGCCTGACGTGAACTGGTTGGGGCATTAATGGATAGACGTGTAAATATATAAAGAGTATGGTAGCACATAATCTGTCTTGATGGGAATTCATAGCCAGAAGTTGGCAGGTGAACGATGATCCTTTAAAGTTTGGGGCAGCTTTGTAATGAAACTCAGCTTGGTGGGGCAGTATATATCCTAACATGCAGAAATTGAAAATATTTGATTAAGAAGGCCTAGATTTAGAATAAAACATTTAAAAAAAAAAAAAAAAGAAGGCCTAGATTTAGAATAAGAGAAGAATTGAGTGAAAGATAAAATGAAACTATCAGCATAAATGTATATGTTGGAAAGGCTCCTGCCCTGTTGCTGGAATAGCCCACACTGCCTCTGATCTCCTGCTTATCACTAGTAATCCTATGAAAGGATAAACATCCGGCTTAAGCATGAGGATGTCTTTACATCCTCTATTACCAAATGGGATGAGGGTACAATGGGAGGTAGCAAATGCTGGGTTGTGGGGCAGAGAAGGCAAGAATGACCACATATCTCTATTGGAGATCAATGATTCTTCAGAATTTTCAGGTTAGCGATGATGGGGACAAATTTGAATGTGAGCAGAGGACTCCTCGTGATAGAAACCAGATAGTGGCAAATGCAGTATGAAAAGCAATGATTACTGCCAAATGGAACCAATGATAGCTGCAGAAAGGGGCAGGAGCTCTCCCTTCTAAACAAGAGAGAAATGGACAAAAACACAGATGTTTACAGTGTTGACATCGGTGTAGTTGGATGCCTCTAGTAAATTTCTGGGTAACGGGTCATCTGTCACTAGTTGGTGTGGCCCTGTGAAGTCCTCAGACCTATTCAAGTCCTTCTGTTGAGAGTTAACAGTGACCTGATTGGTTGTGATAACCCCCATTGGGCCTATGTTGTGGATCAATGTGGGTCATAGATAATCAACAGTGACTTCACAGTTCTGTTTGTGGTTCTTGTGTCCATGCAGATGAGCACCTGAGAGCAAGGGCAGGAAGTATTCCTGTTCTGCAAGCAGAGAGCTAAGAAAACCAGAGATGGAACCTTGTGCTCACCACTTACTGATGACCACTACTTGGAAAAATGTTTTAATTTCTGGTACTACGATGTTTTGCTGAAGAACAAGAAAACCATTGGGCCAATGAGATGGATCCCCAGTGTCTGATGAGGCAACTTTAGGATTGTGTGGACCTATGGCCCCTTGCTTCTGATCGAGTAGCCTTCATGGAGATGGGGACTGGGAGGATTAGGCTCTTCCTTAGGATGGAAGTGCTGTGAGCTGACCGCAGGGTGGGCCTGTGGTAGTGTACATTGATTGTTGTAGGGTGCTTTGAGACCTAATGGTGTGCTTCAGTTTTCCTTGAGTGAACTCCATTGGGGTTTCAGCAGGAATCTGCAGGCCAGCAAGAGTCCTAGAGTTACTGAGATGTGACCTGTCTTAAAAACAAGAGGGAGAGGGGATGTGGCTGGCATCACTACTTCCTTTATCCACTGTGCCTTCGGTAAACAGGCTTTTGCCTCAACAGTCTGCATGTTGTATAGTTGGCACTTGGTTTTGTCTGTCAGCCTATCTTTTCTAGGACATGCTTTTCTGACTCAAATCTTAGAATGATTTTTTTTTTTTTAAGATTTATTTATTTATTTGGGAGAAAGAGAACAAAAGAGAGAGAGAGCGTGCATGAGCGGGAGGGGTAGAGGGAGAAGAAGAAAGAATCTCAAGCAGACTCCATACTGAGCGCAGAGCTCAGCACAGGGTTCAGTCCACGATCCTGAGATCATGTCCTGAGGTGAAACTAAGAGTCAGATGCTTAACGGACTGTACTAGTCAGGTGGTATTCAAATCTTGGGATTCTGGTGAGGTCTTTTCTATCCTCAATGGCCCTTCTTCTTTTTTTTAATTTTCTTTTTTTTTATTATTAATATATAATGTATTATTTGTTTCAGGGGTACAGGTCTGTGATTCATCAGTCTTACACAACACACAGCACTCACAACACATACCCTCCCTAATGTCCATCACTCAGCCACCCTGTGCCCCCTCCAGCACCCCTCAGTTTGTTTCCTGAGATTAAAGTCTCTTATGGTTTGTCTCCCTCTCTGGTTTCATCTTGTTTCATTTTTCCCTCTCTTCCCCTATGATCCTCTGCCTTGTTTCTTAAATTCAACATGTCAGTGAGATCATATGATAATTGTCTTTCTCTGATTGATTTATTTCGCTTAGTATAATACCCTCTAGTTCCATCCATGTCATTGCAAATGTCAAGATTTCATTTTTTTGATGGCTGTGTAATATTCCATTGTATATATATATACACACCACATCTTCTTTATCCATTCATCTGTGGATGGACATCTGGGCTCTTCCCATAGTTTGGCTATTGTGGACACTCAGTGACCCTTCTTGATCACAGCTGATGACTGTTCTATTCCTGGGCTCTGATACAGCCTAAGCCACAGTACCTGCCTCAGTAGATTGGCCAGAATGATCTCATGACCTAGTTGAACCATCAAATCTTCGCTCAAATTTTTGAAGACACTCAGCCCTCTGGTGGTGAAGCTAGGAGAGATGGGGCCCAGGAGCTGCTGTAGCAATGTCTCCTATTCTGGGATAAAGTTAATTTACAGAGAGAAGCAAGTAGTCATGCTAGTGGGAGAGAGTCAGGTGGTGTGTATTCTCTAGTTTTTGATTTTTGTACCCTATCATTTTCAGGAATCATTAAGTTTCCCATACAATTCCATTGTTGGTTCAGTTTCCCTCATTGCAACCCCGTGTGTCCAAATTTAAATCAAGTTCTTAATTTGCTCATCCCATGTGGGCAGGTTAGAAAGACTTGGGTGGTGGTCTCCATTTTCATTCTGCTAGTTAACAACCTCTGAGGGCTGCATGTTCTGTCTTACATTTTTCTCAGGGTAAACTCATCCACTCCTATTCCACTCTATGCATTCTGGGCAAGAAGCCACATTTATGTTTGCAGCACAGACCTTTCTTTTGAGCTCCACATTACGTGTATCTTTATCTTACTGCTTACTTGATTATTCACCTTGCATGCCAAATAGGTGTTCCCAAATTACCAAATTTGTAATGGACTGTTCTTAGTTTTAGTGCCACGTTCAATCAAGCAATGCTTGAGCCCCATGTACTTCCCCTAGAGGGATTTAGAGGTGGGAGAGGGGAGATGGATAACTATATGAATTTACTGCTATTACTGGAGGGTAAGTTTTGGGCTCTCAACTCCAGAGAAAGGTAAAGATTTGGGTTGCAGGATGGCAAAGCACCCACCCACACTAGTGAAGATCTGGCCCAGGTGGGGTGGTGGGAGCTGACCTTCCTGCAGTGGCTGCCCTCACAGGTGCTGGAATAGAACACTTTTGCAGCAGGGTTAAAAAAAAAAGGTGTTTTTTTTTTTTTGCTGGTAAAATACACATAATGTAAAATTTACTATCATAACCATTTTTAAGGTACAGTTCAGTGATATTAAATACATTCATATTGATGTGCCACCATCACCACCATTTGTCTCCAGAACTCTTTCAACCTACAACACTTACATCCTGTACCCAGTGAATAATACCTCCACATTTCCTACTCCTTCCAGCCCCCCAGAAACCATGGTTCTACTTTCCGTCTCTGTGGATTTGCCTCTTTTGGGTATTTCATATAAATGGAATCATATAATATGTCATCTTTTGTGTCTGGCTTATTTCCCTTAGCATAATGTCCTCAGGGTCCATCCATGTTGTTGCAAATGGCAAGATCTTTCTTTTTTATGGCTGAGAAATATCCCATTGTTATGTATACACCAGAGTTTGTTTATCCCTTCATCCATCAATGGACACTTGGGTTGCTTCCATGTTTTGGCCATTGCAGATAATGCTTATATGAATGCAGCAGGTTCTGAAGGCTGGGAGTTACATTCTGTTACCAGGGCATCTTGTACAAAGAGGCCTGAGCTCCAAGTAATAGGGCTTTTGTCAATCAGTGTTCTTAGCTCACTAGCACATTCCCCAAGGTGCCATCTGGCCAGGGAGGACAAAGACCACTGCCACCTCAAAAGCCAGTTCCACTGTCTTTCTTCTTGGTAACCAATGCTTCCGCTAAGAAGTGAGACCAATTTTCACAAAGCTCACAAAATTCAAGGGGTTTGGTTGCACCTTTCTCCTGGGAGAACAATGCTCTTGGCCTGTAATTCCATGCATGTTTAATCCTTTAATGATTTTTGGCACAAGAAGGATCTTGCTTAGCTTTATGGTGACTTTCTATGTATGAAATAGCTGGACCCTCCTCTCGGAAAGATGGGGAAAGGTACTTAGTTTTATCTCCTTCATTGGGGCAACCCACAAAATGCGTAAGGACTTTGATTAAATGGATTAGATTGGTAGTTAAGCACTAGGAAACAGCCACTTGTGACAAGGTGCCAAGTGCAGAAGATTGAACTTTGTTCCAATGTCATCTGTCTTCAGAGTGACTTGAGGATATTCTTACTGCAAGTTCACAGACTGGCCATAGGTCTGCAATATGTTTTAGGCAAGATCTGGGGTGAAAATAGGGCACGTATTCCAAAATGAGAATTATTGGTTTTCCTATTGCAGTATATTCATATTTGTAGTATATTCTTATTTGTAGGATATTCTTTAAAGTAGCTCATAATTTAGGAGCAAATACCAATCTGGTTCCACTGGGACTTCAGTATGATTTAGGGCTCTCTCATGAATCCTCAATTCTAGGCATTCCTATGGATATGACTCCAGCTCAAACTTGTTAGCAAACATGCTGGAAGATTTATAGATCCTGAAAGTAACCAGGTCCATAGACACTCATATCTTAACAGTGACCACGAATGAACAAGACATCAAGAAACACAAAGTAAGGGATGCC